AGTATCATCTCCCAAGATGGACCCTCATATTTTTGGTAAGGCTCAGTTTTGTCACTGAAGGCCCTACAAATGAGACCGCTTTACGCACGCTTTAACTTCGTCCGCTCGCGTTCCTCTGGACACTACTGGTAAAGTCTGCCGGAAATCGCCTGCTAACAATACAGTAACTCCTCCCACTTGACAATTATTGTTCGTTATATCTTGTAAAGATCGATCTTCGAACAAAATTACTTTAAAACCTAATGTGTATTTAATATTATATCTAAAAACTTCAGTTTATATTCAGTACTTGATCTCTGTTATGAATTTATTTACCAGAAGGTAAAACTTTTGTTAAAACCTGCAATTTGGTTTGAATTTTTTACATATTGAATAATAAAGACATTTTGTTTTACCCTTTCTGTGATGAAATTATATCTTATATCTATGTGCTTTGTTCTTTTATTGGTAAATAGGATTATGAATGAGTTTAATACCACTCTTCTTCTTCTTATTATCTATACATAGAACTATCACCTATTGTGGTTAATTAATATCAATTAATAACTGCCGAAGCCATAAAATTTCTTTGGAAGCCTTACTTGCAGCCATATATTCTGGTTCTATTGTTGATAATCCCACAGTATTTTGCATTCTACTAGCTCAAAAAACAGGCCCACCATTCATCTTCAAATATATTCTGTATTAGATTATCTAGAATCAATATCTGAGACAAAATCAGAATCATAAAAACCTAGTAGTTCTTTGTAAATTGGTTACAATTAAAAGTAATAAAAACATCCTTTGTCCTTAACAAGTCCCGAATAATTCGTTTAACAGCATTTACATGGTCTTTACTGGGATTATTTATGTATCTTCTAACTAGATTCAAAGAATAAAAAATGTCAGGCCTAGATATGTGCTTTGTCACTGACCTTGACCATTCCTTATAACGAGAATCTCGTGAAAGCCGCAACAGATAAGCAGATAAAATATCAGAACTTGGCTCACGAGGTAACCAAACTGTGGGGTGGTCTGCCGACCGAAATTATTCCTGTGGTCGCTTCTGCGAACGAGTTAATCCCGGTCAGTCTCTCGGGTCATCTGAGGCGACTGTAAAATTCGTAAAAATTAAATTCATTTAAAGAATTATTTTTCAGAAGTAACTACTCGTAAAGATACTTAGCCGTATTTAAAGTTAAATTATTTACAAAGTTGATGGTATTCCTTTTAAAGCTTTTGATGCAGTTTGCATATTTCACTCTTATCCGTTAAATCCGATATAACGGCATTACTCAGGTCTTGACACTTATAGCCCATTGAACATGGATTTACGTGGGTATAAAGTATACTAGTTAATGTTAGTATATGAAATGTTAATGATTTAAAAATCTATCTATTATAAACACATCAACAGAATCTAGAAATAACTTAATCCTAAATCATTTATAACTTTGTAGTTTAATATGTTTTAAGCTTCCATATACATTGAAACCTCTTTTATTCTATTTTGAAAATTTAAAAATGTAAATTAAAAAAACAAAATACGGCGGCAAAATTGTTAGTAAATAGTTACGTCAAGGAAAATTAACATTTTTCTACTGATATTAAGTAAGTATTAAAAGGGAGTAGATTGTCTCATTTTTCCAGTACTGGGTACGTGGCTGAACGGCACACGGGTAGATATCGTGTTACCACGCAGAGACAAAATCGATTTCTCCAAATGACCCCCAGAAGACAACCCAATATCACAGGGATGCAACTACTACTAAGGCTCCAGGAGAACCACCAGCTGCTGGTAAGCGACCAAACCGTGCGACGAAGGTTGCACGATGTTGTATTTCATGCTTGAAGACCGCTACGTATTCCAGCATTGCAACGTTGCTATAGCAGTCGGCGTCATTCGTGGGCTCAGGAGCATTTACCATGGAGTGACGAACAATGATTTTTGGTGATATTCACCAATGACTTCCAGTTTGGGTTTCATCCGGATTCACGAAAAACACGCGTTTGGAGAACTTCAGGGAAAGTTAGCCATCTACGGCACCCTCAAGAGGTCCACTCATACTAAGGTGGGACAATCACGGTGTGGGCAGGAATTTGTCTTGGCGGACGAACCCAAGTATTTTGTATCCAAGGCAGCATGACTGCACAAAAATACCACGAGGATGTAGTAGAGTCTGTTGTTGTCCCATACAGAATCCAAATGGGCCAGGAATTTCCACTCATGCACGATAATGCTAATTCCCATACGGCGCGGCTGGTGTCGGCCGCTCTCCGAGACCACGACATTCAAATTTTGGATTGGCCTGCACAGTCATCCGACTTAAATCCTGTTGAGCATACCTGGGATATATTACAAAAAAAGCTTTGAGAGATTTCCCGCCAAATTTGACGACGGAACATCAACTTTACGAACACTTACAAAGAACATGGGGGGCGGTTTGTTATTAATTTTACAAACGGCTGCGTACGTCAGGTGGTAATTGGTCGCATGTTTTACCGTATGACGCAGTCGCTCGCTACTTAAGTAGGGAGCGGTTATCTCAGCGGGCTGTATAAATAGCAGTTGTTTTGGCTCGCCGCTCACTTAGCGGTCAGCCACCGCAGAGTCTATATCACCTGAACCCTGTAGAGGCGAAATACGTGTCGTATTGTCGTCAGTGGCGTGTCTTTCCTAGTGTAGTGGTGTTAGTATTAGTATTCGTAGTGGTGCTGGGATTAGTAGTGACAAGGATAGTGCACACAATTGATAGGTACTCTTCAAATTAAGTAAGACACATCATTTTATTTTATAAAGCGGATGTATGCAAAGTAATTTTTACCAACTTTAGTATAATGGATTTCCGCAAAGTAACGCCTGATTCTATTAATTATCTTTAAAGAGCCTTTTTAAAATACCCCTTTCATAAATCTTTTACGAGTAAAAGGTTTCTGATAACTTTTCTTAAAGAAAATGCAGAATCATTGTATTCCGTACACTTAAGTTAATATTTGTTTGAGAAGAAAAAATACTAAGGAAAATGAAAATTATATTCTGCTTTAGAATTATGAAGTTTTGACCTCGTCGACAACTTCGAGTATAGTGCTCCCAACAACTACCAGTTAGGGTGTGACATGGACTTTTAACGTGATCTTTGTTTTATCCGTGTTTCTTTTGTAGACCTATTCGTTAGAAGACACTATTGGGGTCATTGAGCATAGTATTTAAGTCGTCCAGCGATTCTGCTATAAGGACTATATCGTAGGTAAATCAAAAATGAGTGTTGTACTCGCCGTTAATGTTGATACCGTATCCTTTCCAGTCCAGAAGCTTGAAAACGTCTTCTAATGCAGTGATGAAGAGTTTTAGGGATATAACGTTGCCCTGTCTGTTTCCTACTCTAGTTCTATTATCGGACAACCATCGTAACCCTACTGTAAAAATACGGCACTTTAGCACTTTAACAGTAGTAACAGGGACTTACAGGTGTCATTTTTATATGGAACATATATTAAAACATAATGAGCCAACTATGTAACTTGCCTAGAATAAAGTAAAAAACGACTAATGGGATATCGAGTAAGTGATTGTCTGGGCAATGGGATAGAAAATAGTGAAGAAGGATTTCCCAATTAGTTAAACGCTCTAATAAATGTATTTAGGGAACACAGTTATGCCATACTTACGCTGAATAATACAACTGTATCCACATAACATAGCATAACATTTCCTGAACGACTAAAATTGGTACAAAAATATCCAGTAGTTGTTGCCAGACAATTCACAACAAGAATGAATGCTCTTATGTATTATTTAAAACAAAATAATGTCTGCTTGGGTGGAAGTATCCTAGACTATTGGTATAGAATAGAATTCCAGAATAGAGGAATTCCACACTTGCACATGTTAGTGTGGTGTGAAAACATTCTTGATTTTTCGACAAATGAAGGAATAAGTGTAACTAACTGAAAGAGTTAATTTGTGTTCTTTAAACCCCCATAAAAAAGAGTTATTAAATCTAGACAAAAATGTCCAAATGCATAGACATACAACACCTGCTACAAAGATCGTACCAACCATTGTTGTCGTTTTGGGTTTCCCAGAGCTCCAAGTGACGCTACCTTATGTTTGGGTCCTGATGAAGCACTTGCCAACAATAGTCGGTTTTGCATCTTGCGAAGAACTTCTCAAGAAACTATGGTAAATAACTATGGTCCTGATATTCTTAGTCTTTGAGGAGGAAACATGGACATTTAGCCATGCGGAAGTATCTCTGCCGTCGCGTATTATGTTGCAAAATATGCGAGTAAGTGTGAACCTCACGACACTGGAGACGTTGTACGCCAAGCAATTACAATAGCCAAAAGACGGGGTGGCACAGTGCGGAGCCAACTGTTTGAGGTCTCTATGGAAATACTCTCGCAACGATTGGTAAGTGCTCCTGAATGTTTATATCGTTTTTGACACCTGCCGCTTAAAATGAGTTCTCATAAAACAATATTTGTGAATAGCTGCATGCCAAATCAATGCTTTCATTTATTGCGGTTTGAAGAGGATGAAACTTCAATATACAACTACATATTTAACCATTACGTGTTGAGGCGTGATGAGCTAGAAAATATAAGTCTAGCAGAATTTACTGTTCGTTATGAGATAATTTCAAATATTGTTTGGAGTGAGGAAGATGGTGATATTGAACTGAGAGAACCTGTTGATGGGCTTATAAGAATAAGATATATACGATTGTGGGACGCTTCACGCATGCGAGTAAGAAATAAGCCAGCTATGTTACGTACGTGTTTCTACACACTTAATAGTGACAAAGATGGGTATTATTACAGCTTAATTGTTTGCCATATTCCATTCCGCGATGAAAACCATAAATGTTGAAAGACTGAATCCAAAATCTTGTTTTCTTAGAAGAAAAGATGAATTAAGGCCTCTGTCGACTAACGTTAGTACCGAAGATTTCGTTCATACAGAACAGGTCTTTTAACAGGCACTTGTCCAGGCAACTGCTTTAAATGTTGCCCGTGAAATGCGTTGCGAAAATGTTCCCCGTGAAACAGGTTTGAAAAATATCAGGGACGATCAAATTATAAACGCCGATGAACATATTAATCAAAATCAAGACGACTACTGTGAAGATGTAGAAGAAAGAGGTGCAATGCCTGATGATATTTTTTTAAATAATATCAGAGGTCTAAACATACAGCAGAAGAATTTATGTCAAAGAATTTCTACGGCCATTGAAAAAGATTTACATGGTGATGATGAAAAGTTGTTCCTTTTTATAACTGGAGGAGCTAGCAGTGGCAAATCATTTGTTATAACATTACTCCTCAAGCACATTAAGAGGAGTTATGCGCCTACAGTTGATTTGCTTCTAAAGCCTAAATTTGTTGAGGTAGGTTCATTGACTGGTGTCGCCGCCCGCCAGGTACTTGGCAAAACATTGCATTCACTTTTTTCTCTTCCCATCGAAAAAGGTAATTCAACTGCATATAGACGCTTAACTGGTGAAAACTTAGAACAGGAAAGACGTAAATGGCGTAACATAAGTTGATTAGTTATTGACGAAGTAGCAATGGTTTCTTACGAGAACTTACAAATGATTCATTTGCGGCTACAGAAATTCAAAAACAATGATAAGTTGTTTGGTAGCATAAATATTGTTCTCTTTAGAGACATCATGCAACTGCCGCCTGTAAAAGGACATTAGTGATTTGTACAGCCACCTTGGAATGCTGCAGAAGTTAATTTATGGTACGCATTTTCATTCTGCAAATTAACGATCAATATGAGACAACGAAATGATACAGATTTTGTTGACCTAAATTAATTTACGCGTTGGTAAATTGACAACAAGTTAACTGGAACTGCTCTGTCAGAGGCGAATGGTGGACTTAGATGAAGAGTTAAATGATGGTGTTGTGGTTCGAATTGTGGTTGTGGTCAAACAGGTTGAAGAATACAATAATGAGATGACAGCTATAAATTCAAAACAAAATCGCGTCTGTACAATGCGTTCCATAGATGAGTCTCGTGAAGTTGCTGCCAATGTAAAAAAAAACCTCCAGATAATGTTGTTTCAAAAGATGTGAACAATTGTGGTGGACTTTTATCTGAGGTAAAATTACCTGTCGAATCTCGTGTGATGTTGAGACGTAACATATAAGTATCTGACGGGCTCATCAATGATGCTATGAGTATTGTAAAAATAATAAAATGGCCATTACTACGCAGGGATCAACTAGAGGAAGAAGAATTACCAGATTGCGTATAATTAAAATTTGACGATGAAAGCATAGGAAGCAGACTAAAAGATAGCGATGGTTGTGTCGCCACAACTTCGGTGGTAGCAACTTTTCAAGTTACGAAGGGTTATGGCGATATTGAGCGCAGGATAATGCCGATAATTTTATGCTGGGTTGTCACGGTTCACAAATTACAAGGTACGACCCTTAATACATAAAAACAAACTATTCCACTCCTGAGCGTGGGTGCTCAGGCTGTCCCACGTATTCTGGGGAGGGGGGCGGCAAAATTCTGCTCGCAACTAATGCTGCTCGGGACAAGCAGAGCAATACAACCAAGGCGACCCCTGTCACGCTATCCGTGAATTTTCGCAACATCAGGGGACTTCATTCCAACCTTAACGCTGTCCATTACCATCTAGAGATGGCGAAGCCGGCCTTGCTCTTTTTAACCGAGACTCAGGTGTACTCTCCGGCTGATACTACATATCTTTCCTACCCGGGGTACAAATTGGAATTTCGATGCCCCTCTGGGCTCTTCGGACCATTGTCTGATCCGCAGCACGGTGCCACTCACGCTCCAATCGCAGTTGCGATCTGCAGCTTGCCGCCTTGTTTGGCACTATAGGTCAGCTGATTGGGACGGGATACGGTCTTTTTTTGCATCCTACCCTTGAGGGAGGGTTTGCTTCTCACCGGAAGATCCTAACGTTGTTGCCGCTTCTGTTGCTGATGTGGTATATACTTTATATATTCTTCAGGGTATGGAACTATTTATTCCATGCTTTGTGGTGCCCATCGGAGGCAGATCCCATCCATGGTTTGGTCGCTCCTGTAAATTAGCATTACGCTATAAGCAGGAATGCTACCGGGCCTGGGCTGACGCATCAACATCTCGGGATGAAAGCACCAGCACACTTAAAAAGAAGTATAATTCCGCCTCCAGGTCTTTCAAAAGCGTCATTGCCAAGGCAAGGTCTGAGCACATCGGCAGAATTGGCGAGAAGCTAGTTCGCTTTCCTTCGGAAACCCGTGCATTCTGGTCTCTCGGCAAGGCTGTCCAAGGGAACTTCTGTCAGCCACCTCTTCCATCTCTGCACAGAGAGGACGACTAACTGGCCCATGCCGCAAAGGAGAAAGCCGATCTGTTGAGCTCTCTATTTGCGTCCAACTTGACTCAAGATGACGGAGTGAACATACCACCGACCATCCCGCGATGTGAGTGCTCCATGCCGGATGTGCGGTTTACACAGCATTTGGTTCGCAAAGCACTCTTCTCCCTGGACATAAGCAACTCGAGTGGGCCCGATGGACTCCCACCAATTGTGCTGAAGACGTGTTTTCAGCACAATGGGTGGTGGGTCAGTACGGTTTTTGTCGGGGTCGATCAGCTGGTGATTTTGTAGTCTATCTGACTCATAGATGGGCGGAGGCAGCAGAGTCCAAGGGGGAGGCATTGGCCGTTAGTTTGGACACAGCGAAGGCTTTCGATCGGCACAAAGCACTTCTTTCGAAGCTTCCTTTCTATGGGCTTCCTGTGAAATTGTGCAAATGGATCACCAGTTTCCTTGCTGATCGGAGCACCAAGGTCGTAGTAGACGGTGCATGCTGTTTTCAAGCCTATCAACGCTGGTGTTCCACAAAGCTGCGTGCTATCACCAACGCTGTTTCTCCTGCATATCAATGCTATGTTGCTAACTGGTAGCATTCATTGCTATGCAGACGACAGCACTGGTGATGCCTTATATACCGGCTGTGCCAATATTTCTCGGGAAAATGTCGCCGAGTACCGGGACAAACTTGTGTCTGAAGTCGAGTCTTTGCTTAGCAAAGTCTCGGATTGGGGGCGACTAAATCTAGTCCAGTTAAATCCCCAGAGGACACAAGTTTCCGTGTTTACCGCTAAAAAGAACCCCTTTGTCGGATCTACGTGGTAGAACCATGCTGCAGCTATATTATGGTTGTAGCCCGAATAGGTCGGCTCGACCGGGAAAGGACCACGCTCTCACAGAACACCAGCGTAAAATAGCAGCTTAACGCTGCTGTGTTTCGTATGGTGAGTGTAGAGAACCGGAGACCCTTTTTACTGGCAAAGAGGCATTCCATCTTAGTCCTCACGGGTGACAACGCATCTGCATCTTGAGTCTTTATTGAGATAGATGTAGATGTCTATGGGTCACAGTAACCACTTACCATCAGGTGGACTATCTGCTCGTTTGTCACCCGAACCTATAAAAAAATCTCCTCAGTTTCAAGGCACTCCCCTTGCTGCCTCAGCTAGTATCGGAATTCTTCGCGTTGACATATCGAATAGTGTGCAGTTTCGTGGTCACTTGGAAGAGAAGGCACATCGGCCTCTAAAAAGCTTGGCGTGCTCAGCAGTCACAGTATTTCGTGCCGGCACGTCGCTTGCAACTTTACAAAGCGCAAGTTCGGCCCCACATGGAATACTGTTCTCATATCGTGGCCAGGGCACCCCAGTGCCAGCTCCTTTTACTTGACCGCATCCAGCGCAGAGCGATTCGAATCGTCGACGACCGAATTCTTTCTGATTGGCTAGATACACTGGCACTGCGTAGAGGAATTAATAATTTCAGCCGCTCAATTTCACCATCGCACATCGCGACAAAACTCGCGTTACCATCCATACCATCTCGATGATTGGCGGTCCACCACTGTACGATTTAGAAGAAGTTTTCTCCCTCGCACAACTTCCTTCTGGAATCAATTACCACCAGCGAATTATCCGGACCGATACGACTTAGGAACCTTCAAGAAAAGAGCTTACACCTATCTAAAAGGCCGGCAACGCATATGCAATTCCCCTGGTGTTGCGGTTGTTCATGGGCGGCGGTAAACACTTACCATCAGGAGAGCCGCATGCTCGTTTGCCCCATCTTCTATAAAAAAAATGTAGTAATACACCACTCAGAATTAAAACCTGTGAGTAAAATATAAATCAACCCTATTTTCCTACTCTTAGGGTAGACATTTTTTTTCCAAATTATAAAATATATGGAACCAATTGCGAGGTGTTCCCTATCCAATAAAAGAAGAATTATCAAAATCTGACTACTGTGTAAAAAGTTATGCGTGGTCGTACATAAAAAAATATACGCGTCGACTTGAGAACCTCCGTTTTTTCGTCGGTTAAAAATATTTCGCTACGTCTATAATGGGTACGTTTATATTTATTTTTTGTATTATAATGCTACCGTGTAAACTATATGTTAGTTAAAATAAAAAAATGGAAGTGACTGTCTATAATATCGAAATAATAGTTTTTTTTTTATTTGTGGGGATTATATGTATGCCATTTAGTTATACATAACCATTTTTAAAGTTCTTGTATGTGTGTCTGTCCAGGTTATTTTGCGGAGTGGCTGAATCACAATCAAATAGATAGCAATACCAGGAGAGGTCTAGGTTATATTTTAACTGATAATAGATTTTTTTGTAATTTTGATGATTATATTGTAGCCTTTATAAAATATTCTTTGTAACTTTCTATATATCCTTCAGACAAAAAAACAACTAGGTATGCACTGCTGATTGGCGACAGAAATTAAAGAGGAACCTATCAAGTTTCCTAGGTCGAACAGCAGGTACTACTTAGTTTTTTTTTTTGGTACAATTTATGTTGAGATTTATTATTTACAGATTTACAATTTTATTACTGGTACATAAACACTTTATTCGTGTACATTAAATGCTGTAAATAACTTAATAAAGTATTAAGTTTCATTATGCATTGTAGTAGTTAATGCGGAAGTAAAGTTTTATGTAGTGCAAACACGCAATCTTGAAGCATGCATAATCGAGCAATGGCAGTCCTCGCAAAAGCTTTAAATATATTTGACGTTTTATCTGGAATTCTTATCGAACGGTAGGAAAGTGTTATCAGTCGTAGATCATTGAACAAATTTTTAATAAATTAACTATGATGAATAAAACAAATATTTCATTTTTGAATATAAGATTGATAATAGAGCTTATAATCCTCCTGAATGACTAAATAATCAGTCAAATGTGTATACCTTCGCGTACTAAGTTGCTCGCAAAGAATATGAAACTTATATGAATCGTTTGTTTTTCCTTAATCTGTGCAAAAGAAATGCGGGCAAGAGTGCGCCTATGATAACAGATTCTCCGATATAGAATTATTTACTACGTCACTACCTCTAATTAGAAAACTAAAAAACTTGTATTTTTTTCTTTTCTTCTAAATATCTTATAACGATAATCAAAATTGTTTTTCGAAGTAATACATAACATTCATGATTTTGCTGTTAATGGCTAGGTATACATT